GTTCTGTGATGATATTTTCCCCTAATGTTTGTACCCAAAGCCGACACCCGCAGCATACACACGCACTACAGATTGTGAGTTTGTGGTTCTCAATTACACTGCACCTTATACAGCACAACAAGGGAAGGTTCTGATAGCAAGTGCAGGATGTCTCAAACAAGGCAGGTATCCATAAGTCACAAACGAAACACATCTGATGCACCTCATTCCTCATGGTTAGGATGTGATGACAACATGAATACTGTGAGGTATACAGGCACACATTGTGAACCAATCCCATCTGCATGGGATCAGACAAATCTGCCACATGGCTTACCTCCTTGCCAAGTTGTTCACATTTGTATGCATTGTCCCCCTCCAAATATGTGGCATTCACATAGTCATCCAAACCCTCTTGCAAGGTTGACTTGCCTCGGATGTCGATAGCAAGGTTCGTGAATGCCTGTTCTGTTTCACTCACATGTACATGATCTCCATCTCGGCATATTATCTGCATTAAGACATGAACAACTTCAATCAACAGAATCTTGTTTGACAACTCCTGGGACAGCATAAACACCTCATCGAGTGAGAGCTCCCATGAAGTGTGCACACAGCAAAGCAACCACAACTGCAGCTTTCTGTCTACAATTGCTTCAGTGTCTTGAGCATGCTCTGCGATCACTGTGTGCCCTGAGACATAACCAATGCAAAATCTTGTCCAAAAACAGAACTCTGCAATGATGGCCTATGCAGAGTACAGGGCAGCAGGCTATACACCATTCTTCACACGAAATTGCCCTGAAGTTGCAACTGGACTGCAGTCACTCTCAAACGCTTGTGTCATCATGTGCAGCGTGCAGCCCCAGAAATACAGCAAAAAAGTGCGATTACTTTACCTGCTGGACAGAGCTACCTCTCATGGCTTTCTTGATGACAGGCTGCTGACCTGTCCTCACCAGGTGTTCATCCACAAGGTCCTGTGAAGCAAATAAATACACCATCGACAAAGAGCAATGAGGATGCACAGATATAGCATGTGCTGAGAACACCATGACACCCTTTCCAACAGTAAGCTTTTTGGTGGGGTACAAGCACATACACAACGTTAGGAATTCATGGACTGCATTGACACAGGAAATTTTTGCCTGCCGCTCCTGCTCTCCCCAAGCACGCTGGGCTGTGTTGGACATAGCCTTCTCATGCTGCTGCTGGCATCAAACTCTGATCCAACTACTTTCCTTTCCCTAAACAGAGCTCACAAAACCCACAAAACACTATGTTGCCGTTCCATATGGAAATGTGAACATATGACACCAGCGTGCCACAGCCGGAGCACTGTCACAGATATTTAATGCATATGACAGGTAAATGTTTACCCTGCTTATTGAGCTGACTCACAACAAAGTATCACACAATTCTTATGGAGGAGAGGGTTCTTGTGCAGCTTGTCAACTGTGCTTCTCAGAGGCGGGTGGGCTCTTCAGCGAAGTCGCCTCATTGCTGCCTTTGCTTGGGCTGGTCGAACAAGGGGGCTGGCGGAAGCACACAACTTGTGGTGCAGGTGGGGTTTTGCTGCTTTTGAATGCAGCAGGCCTCTGGCAGGGGGTGGAGGGTGGCATACGATGCACTGCACATCGCCACCATATGGCTGAGCCACATTATTGCGGACTGCACTTAGCACCACTTTAGTACGGCAAGTTATTTTAGTGTTGCACAGATAGTCCTGGGGGCCAATACTGCACCTTGGGCAATGCAACAGAACGAATTGTCCAGTGCAGTAATCAAATGGGGCCACCCGCATACCTCAACACGCAGAAGGAACTCCATTGCATCATTGTGCTCCCTCAGGTCCACTTTCTTGCCATCGCTGTGTGTGTAAGTGTCCAGCAAATCTTTCGGAAAATACCACTGGCGGTGGCTGAACTGCAACTCCCCCAGAAGCCTCTGACAACACATCAATGACAACAATTGAAAAACTATCCATGCTCATCCTTGCATATTCAAAATGAACATGCATGTGAATGCAGGTCGATTCAACCTCAACCGCCAATCAAGCCACCTGCTTTTCACCCATTTGGTGCGAGTGCCACAGCAGTGACATTGCAGCCACAAGGCACAAACAGGCACTGTTCCCAGCAGCCTTACAATCACCATCAGTGGAACAAACGTGATATCCAGGACACTTGTCAAGCCCAAACAAGCTGCTGTCCTTTCTGTTGTTCACAATTTGCCCTGTCAAGAAAGAATCAGTGTTCGCCTTGAATAAAGGCAATGCCAGGTACCAGATTGTACAACAAGGTGGTGTGCCTTGCCGCAATGTTTAAGAGACAGCTGCACACAAATGTCAGCGCATGCACAGAGTACTGCAATGCGAACAATACACATCTGCAGCTTGTGACTCCATACACCAAAAAAAATTCTTCCTCCCAGTAAAATGCACCTCACGCTGCGTTGGATGTGTGCACGGCCACCATATTCCTCTTGCCACAGGAGCACTGTTTTGATTTGAGAAGACAAATGGAGTCCAAAGAAACCCAGATTCTTTGAGGTAGGGAGGGTCACCTGGAAGTTGTAGAAAAAGCATCCCTTTTCTTGGTCATCGTCAGCCAAATCTGCAGCAGCAAGTACACCATCGCGAATGCTGGGCTGCATAAAGAATTGCTGCAGCACGGAGTTCATGTAGCATGTAGCAGCTGCATTTCGAAGTCCCACATAGCCATTGAGGTCCCTATGGCAAAGCAGACGGAGCCAGTTTCAATCTGCTGTGAGTCATCAGAAGAACCTGCATGGCATGCATGGGCACCTGTAGGGCACATGTTGTGGGTGACAGCCCCCCGCTGTGCTGCTTGTTTTACTCTATTGGCGGCATTGACAAATCCTGTAAGGTGACAGAAGCCAACATATGCAGGCACACTTCATTGCCCCAATTTTGTTAATACAAACCTCCAAACTCAGGAAGACACAAGCTCATGCAGACCATGCATGTTTTCTTTACATCTGTTCTCCCAGGAGCATCGTCTGCAGAGAAAAATGGGCTAGTTTGTGCCATATCTCCGTCCAATGCCCTCTCCCAACACTGCCGTATCATGTGGATGAAGTATGCTGTCCCCAGCCACAGCTTGCAGCCCAGTTCCCACAACTGGATGCAAACCATAGAGGGATCAAAAATCCAAAAGGAAGGGAAACACAAATCTAACCAGTGCAATATCTCCCCAGTGAGGGTGGCAGTGAGGGTTGATAGCCTCATCAGTACGTGGCAGTCTTGCTATAACCTGAATGAAAGTAGAAAATAGGCCTTGAGGGGTGCCCATGACTAAAGCCATGGCACTCTGTCACTTTCCACATCTTCTCCACCCAGGACAACAGGCCTGTTCAGTGGATAGGCATCCATTTTATGGACCCATCAGGAAATCAACGGACACTGGGCAGATTTACAATGCCCTCTTATGCTGAGACTCCTTGTCGGCTGTTCCAAATATCAACCCACAGGGAAGCAGCATAGCATCTTGCAGGTCAAAAGCAATCAATTAACATCGAGGGCACACGACAGCTCAAATTCTAGGAGGAGACAACGATTCCAGTACCTGCATCCCTGCATGTTGCGGAATCCGGAATATTCTGCAGCCCTGCTGCTGAAATGCAGTCTGTTGAGAAGTTCGATGGCAAGGCGCTGGTTCGGGGGGCCGCTGCTCATGAGCTCTTGAAGCAGCTCAAATGCCGCCTGGGCAGCGACCAAGACCGCACCAAAATCAGGGTCAACAGCCAACGCGAGCCACAGTTCGGTTCCTTGGCAACCACTGCCAAAAGGTCCAAAGGTGTGGCAACACCCAGCTGGCATGGGTCGCGCTGGCAGAGCAACAGAGTAGGAGGAAACACTGGCAACATGTGGCAGGAGATGGGGGAAATTGACTGTAACCAAATCTGATGTGACTGCGACACATCAAGTGCTTTGCCCTGCATCAGCCATAGGGTTGCAGAGTTGTGCCTTGGCTTGCGTAAGGACAACTTCACAAGGATTTGTGCCATTTGTCGAAAGCAGGACTTCAACATTCAGACTCTTATGGGACAAGTGTTCCATACAGTTGGTATTGTGACTTACATGCGACAAAGTTTATGGAACATTAGAAAGCTGCACTGTCCAAATTTGTCCATTTCATCCAGTGGGAGCATAGCAGCGGGAACCTTGCTCCTTTACCTCACGGCTTGTGGTGGAGGTATTCCTTGTGCACAGCAGCTCCCTCATCTCCTTGATGGCTGGAGAGCTGAATTTGGTGGAAGACTCAACCAGTTCCCAGGCTTCGGGAAACAGCAACTCTGCATGTCCGCAACACAACGACCGGGTTGTCGCATACAGAGTGATTGAAAGCACATGAAAACATGGCAGCATATTTGGCACCAACAACTGTTCCTAGATTGGGGATTCCTTTGCTATTTCTTAGTTCTCTCTTTTTCCTTAGAACAGCAGATTGGGGTGGGTGGTGGGTGGTGGGGTGGAATTAGGGAATGCAACTGAAACTTCTGCCAGACAGGTTCAAAGCAAAATCAAGGTCAGCAATATTGTTGTACTTGTGCGATGGCATCAACATGTGTTTTTGTGCCAGTGTTTCAGTTGGCCATGGCAGGCAATTTCTGGAGTGGATCCACTGTTCTCTCACCCAGCAGCAACACCACTCTCTCACCATTTATTAGGAACCTCACAAGTTGGTCCTCTTTGTCCTTTAGGGGTGCCTCCCTCTCCAGCGCCTTGGTTAAACGAGTGACCAGCCTGAGCTGGCATCCCAGTCTGACATCCCCAGGAGCCTTGTCAGCAGGAGATGCACGGATGCACTCAAGCACATCGAAGAGCAGCTTCTTAACATCTGCCAACTGGAAACAACAGTCACTGTTACACGTTTGCTTCACACGCCCATTCACAACTGCTGGGTCTCATATTAAATACCGTACAAGAACCAAAACATGGTGGGGCAGCAATGCTCATACAGCAGTGCTGGACAAACAATCCTACGTAAATCATAGTCTTTCTCAATAGAAAAGACAACAACTGAAAGTAAACAGTGCTCCCAGATGTAGCAGGGCGAAGTGCCAGGTGTTACCTTGTGCATCCATCCCTAGCTGCTACAACAGCCATATTTGCTTAATGAGGATACCAGCAATCAGAATTTGGAATATGCCAAAAGCATGCTGTGCCTGTACCATACATAATAGGTTCAGCTGAGTGATCCTTTTTTTCATCACTTGTGGGCAGCCATCACCATTATCAGCTTCCCCTTCACTCTCTCACAGTACCAGTGGCCAAGCTGGTCTTGCCGGCAACAAACGTCAGCTGTACTGCTCACTTCTACAGTATTGTCCTGTCAGCATCGTCCCAGAGCAATGAACTTTGCGATTCTGCGACTTGTGTGCAAATGCATCGTACTGCATGCGACAACTGTGCACAGCGCATATTTACAGGACCTTCGCAACCATGCAGGGCCTTCTGCACATGTGGTAACCCACCTCTGCATCCCTCGCTGTGCCAGTGAATCTATCCACAAGCTCCCCAAGCAGCTTGTAGTACTCCTCGCAATGCCCAGGGTGCTGGTCCGCCATCTCCCGCTCAGACTTCAACAGGGTGAAGAGCCAATCAGCCGTGGGCGCGTCCATGCTACACAACAGCCGGCCGAAGGACAGGGTGGCATCTCGCACTCGACCCTGCCGATTCACCAGGTTCTGGAGCAACATGCCACGCACATCTGCCAGATGCAGACCCCACAGGAAGCCACCTTTAGCTCAAGGATGGTTCTTCATATCATTCTCAATAAATTGAAGGTGCAGAAAGATCACTCGCCTTTCAGAACAGTTATCCAGTGCTGTGGGGCCCCAAAACTCAGCATCCTGTGGGTGACTGGGATTTTTTCGGCCACTTTGGCAAATGCTGACACATGGAATTGAAGCAGAGCTGAAACAACATCTCTTACACAAATGTGTGCAACGCCATGTTGATCATATGTGCACAGTGACACCATTTGTGAACCTGGTATTCACTGATGTATTCTATTCATGGATGTATTTATATCACCTGCAAAGTGCAAGGACACTGCTTCGTCTTGTAGAAGGCAAATATACAGACAACAGCCATTCGTGTTTGGCAGTTGGCTGTATGGCTGTCAAGTGACAGACACCACTATTTCTCATCGCGGGGGCAACAATCTTAAAAACCAGACTCAAGTTGCTGGAAGCAGCTTGCAGCTGAGTAGAATACAGTGGGAGTACCTATATAGTGTCCACATGTGACAGGACTGCAAACAGGGGCTATTGGGGACTGGGCGCTAAAGTGTTGATCGACATTATTGCCATTTCCCATATTTTAATCCATCAATGGGACTCCCGTCGCTTTCTGCGCAGCAAAAGGCCCATTGGGCGTGATACGGGCTGTTTCCATGCCAAAACGACCTGCCGCACTTGTGCACCCTGTGCCATAATGGCAATTTATTTTGGCACCGTGTTGGAGGCTTGCATTGTGTTCTTGATGGAGTCTCTGCCAGGTTCCAATTTTCAACACGAGGCAATGTTTGACGAAGTGTCTGATGATCCCAAATCATGAAATGAATCGAATGCAGTGAATAATGTAATGAACGAATGTCATGAATAATGTAATGAACACAACGTAGAACAAAATTGAGTTGTTGATGCACACTGCATGAACGGAACGGTTGTGTGGCATCACCAATGATCTGATCGTGACCATGAAAACCTCATACGACGTTTAGATGTGCTCCTTAACTCTGTGCACAACCAGCGAATGCTGGAGGTCGGATGAGCCCCTCTTTTGGATGCGTTTGAGTGTCCAATACACTGGTTTGAGGTCCTGCTGTTCAGCAGAGTCGCACAATGTACTACAATCCGTGCCAGATACAAAAAACGGGGCATTATTGGAGGCTGGGCACTATTGAGAGGGCGCTATACACGCACCCCAACTGTATTCAAATCTCAGTCTCTAGAGATAGCGCTCTGAAGTGCTTGTAATGGACAGCTTGACTTCTGTAGTACCTGCTTGCAGTAATTGTGCAAAATATTCCCCCAAGGGATGTGCGTGGTATTGTTGCAAATGTAAATCTGGAGTCAAAATCACACACACAAAGAATTCTGGTGCCAATTCACAGTCCCTGTACTTATACGCATCATGTCTACTGATGTTGGCATGTCGGTGGCCCATAACAAGGTTTTTTAGAAAGACCAACATGCCTTTCTACGCCAAAAGACAATGCAACATTGGCTAATAAGGAGCAAAGAACACCCTTGTATGCCAAGTACCAGTGTAACTGCAACAACTAAAGACTTTTGCACTACCTTCCGCAGTTGTAAGCCACCTCCTCAGCGATGGCTGGCCTCTGACGAGCTTGTTTATGTTCGTGTATGCCTGTCCAACAAGCAGGCTGTCCATGTCGCTCGGCTGTGTGCACCATAGAACACCTCCCAAGTCAGTACTGCTGCGACCCAAAGCAAGCCTGCGTGCAAGAAAGGAGAGCCCCTTGCATGTGCAATTATCGCTTGCACAGGACTGCTGAAACCAAGGCAAGTCACCTCCACTTTCAACGAAGTTGGGAATGCACCAGATGAGTGCATGCAGGTTGAGTGGATGTGGACGGGGGCAAGCACATCTGCTGCAAGCTGTGTCCATCCAGAGCAACGCACCATGATCCCTTGAGTGCTGCAGCCCCATCCAGCTGCAGCCGTTGTCGCCAGCTGCACAAAGTGCTTCACCACTTTCAAGAGCACCGCCTGGTCGTCAGGCACCTCGTCAACTGACAGCGAGCTGTCCATGTCCATAGTCTCGGCACTGAACCTCTCCTGTGTGCTCATCTGTGTGTCATTGAAGCCCTCTGTGGCCATTGCCTGCGTTGCCTGCTTTGCTTCATCTGCCTCGTCCATGGTTTGGGTGGCCATCGCATCTGTCTGTTGTGTCAGTTTGACATTGTCTGCAAGGCCTTCAGTCAACTCACCCTGCATTCGTTTCATCACACCAGTCATAGTTTGGGTGCTCAACGTTTCAGCCTGCGATGCTGGCTTCTCATTGTCATCCTTGTCATCTGGATGCTCCTTCAGCTCTTTGTCCACAGCAGTGGGGACTTCTTCCTGTGATGTGCCCAGATCCATGGCTGCATGGCTGTCCAGAAGGGGTTTGTCTCCAGCGCTTGTACATACCTGCACCTGACATACAGCATGGTGGGATTCATGTCCAGTCCTGACAAGGTCATGATGGTGTTTATAATGATACCCCTTTGCTGCACGCCAACCACCGAGGGCTATCTTGCAACACATCCAATCAGAGAAAAAACGTCCACTGTCCATCTCAGTGACTGTCAGCTCTTGGAAGCACACACAGCAGCCTCTACATTGAGGCCTGCACTTGTTCCAGAAGTCTGGCACAGGTGAAACACAGTAAAGAACGCACATTTGAGAACATGCAAATAAAAACACACATAGACAGATGCAACAGTGCTGCACCCCATTCACAGCAATTCATGTCGATGCAGTCCTCTTTTATTTGAGTTGAGATCATTTGCAGTGGAGGAGAATGCCAAGCCTGATATGAGCAGATAAGAGGATGCTGTTGAGAATTATCTGTGAAAGACACTGCCGCTGTGCTGAGGGAGGCTGGCTCTTCAACCAGAAAGGAACACTGCAACACATTGGGTGGCCCCTTCCTGACAAGGAATTGTATAAGGATTGGTATATTCTATGCTGCAGAAAATGATGAGACACACTTCTGCCACAGGAGGTTATGTAAATGATGGGAATCGGCAAAGCGTACACACCACAGATGGAGTTCCTGCAGTCTCATGTCCATTTTGACCATCAGGCTGGCACTCGTGTGCTGCAGGAGCTCTGCTCCGTTTGTCCAGCGCACGCGCCATCATGCGAAGAAGGTGCTCCACGCACATATGCAGCTCCCTGAAGTACTGGCCTTTCTGATCCGCTGCGCAGATGAACAGAAAAACTACCATCGGCTGGGTTGAACAACAGGTCTCCAGGAAGTGCTCAAACCGACCCACACAAAGTCACTCCAGAGTAAGGATTGAGGAAGAAAAGAAGATCATTGTGAGCCCAACACGTATTGGGAACTAAACTATATTCACTGGAGAACAGGACTGCTGATATGACACAGCATAAGGTGTGACAAATGCAATAGTTGTCCTTCATCGCCAAACGAAAGTAGAACGGGCACTTGTACAGCCTCTTCAAGCAAATAATTGAATTGAACTGGTGTGCAGCAGATAGCAGAAAAGCACAAAAGTATGTTGATCTCACAGTGGCCAGTGCCAAGCAACCCCATGGGGAAACAAAGGTAATAGCCTTGGCATCACCTTTGAGGTCTCCTGTGTCCACAGCTTTGACAACCTCCAGGACAAATGTAATGCAGGCAGGGTGCTCCAGCCGGTCACTGCCATGGTTCAGTACTTTGTTCAGCATCTGGTCACAGCAGAGAGCGCAAAACAGCTGGGCATCAGATGTTTTAAGACAGAAATGCTTTTAGAGAGAGTACAAGTGCCAAGAAATTGCACAAGGGAACAATGTAACCACAGGAATGCTGGGAAACAATGACAGGCTTGAGGCGTCAAACGCCCAAGAAGAGTTGAAAGGAGGATGCAGAAGAAACAGCACAACACAAGGCATGTTGTGTGGGCCACATGACTGAGGAAGAGGAACTTGTGTGTCAACTAAGGACCCCAGATAATGACAACTCGCCCAGTGTGTAGTTCATTGCATTGCAGTTCTAGCTAAATTGTTGGAACTGCATCAGTGGCACAGACACTGAGCCATCCAAGACATTTTCGCACGTTCTGACTGGCCAAGGGCGGCACAGCCACGTGGTTGCCCTTCATGTCACCAGGGCAGCATATGCAAGGTAGAGCAACTCGTCAAGCTAAGATGCTGACAGTACGACCAGCAATGCAGCACAGGCGCCTCAACTCTGCACACTCCATCGTGAACGGCCACCAGCAGTGGTTTGGAGTATCCCAAGGGACCAGTGGAAATTTTCCATTGGCAACATTTCTGTGGATATATCTCTATGGACAGCACCCAAGATGGCCTAGTAGGTGCAAAGGCAGGGTTTCATCACATATCTTGACAAATATGACAACTAAGCATACCATCGGCTACCCTACTCCCACTGTCACTTCTTGGATGCATGATGTCATCAGAATCCTTCTTGGCATTGCCTCAATGGTGCAATGACAGTGCTGTGTTCGTATTTGACAGCTTCAGTTAAAACGGCAAAGCAATCAGCTCACCTGCAGAGCATATTTTGTCCTCTCTGGCATGGCTACCTTCCCGTCTTTAAGAGGGATGTGCAAGGCGCCTTTTAGGGAAGCCCAGAAGCTAGATGGCATGTTCCCCTGCAGCGCTGTTTCCAGAGAAGTGACAAGAGGCGGGTAGGGAGGCAGACCGGCGAGCACCTGATTTGCTGTCTCACGCACAACCACCCGACAAGGGCAATCCACGAGGTAGAGCAAAATGTGGTAGAGCTGATTCTGGACGCACGCAGACACACATACTCTTTCACATCTTGTCCACTGGTTACAGCCGAAAGGAAATCAAAAAGAATTCAAACACCATGCATGAAACATTGCCTATTGTTGCATTTCAGGCAAAGGCTGTGCTGGTCACTGTTCAAACAAACGTAACCACAGGGTTTTACAAAGTGGACAACACTGTCCTGTTATACAGCATTGGACATCAGGTTGTTCGTATGGGCGCAATTTGTGGCCATGGGGCAGAGATATTGCATATTTAGTGCCGATCGCCCATATTGCCTTGTTCAGCAACAATTGCAGATTATTTGCAGAAAGGATGCAAGAAAAACTTGAAAGCATGCAGTAATGTGGTTCATGCTTCCCGTTCATCACATCCAGGCTGCACATGCAAGTGCAGCACTTTGTCAACACTGCCAAATACAGACAAAAGCAAATTGCCACCAAGCGCATCCTTACCATTTCCTCTTGGCAGACGTCTGTGGAGGCCCCTTCGTCCTGCCTGCCCAAGCTAGCCTCTGCCTGCATCAGGCTGTTGATGGCCTCAAGGCACCTGGCAACCCTCATGGCCACACACTCCTGCAGCTTGGCATCAGGGTTCACAGGCATTGTCTCGAGCACCAGACGCCAGTCCAGGTGCTGGGTGTCAAGCCCTGCCAGCTTGCAAGAGTTCTCGCGCAGAAGGTGGAGGCACCGCCTGGCCAATAACCGAGTGCAAAACAGTGTCTTCAACAGAAGGAGAAACATGGCACACAAAGGGTCCGCTTGTGCTCAGTAAGTTCAGGAGCATCACGGGTGACAGGTGGGTGTCCGAACACACCAATAACACTTGTGGGCTGTTCAGTGGCAGTGGAATGCGTGAATCCTTACTGCCTGCATGAACAAGACACACAGGCCAGGGAACATGTCTCTTTTGAACTCTGATGATCGTATGGTATCATTCTACCACCGATATACAAGGACCTCAAAAGCGTTGTCAAATGTGCACACAAGCCCCGCATCGCAGCAGTGAAGGGACGAGTAAAGGAAAGAGAAGCAACACTTCAGAAAAAACAACTTGTTGCTGTAACAGCACTTGACATCGTCTGACAGGTATACAGCAAATGTACCACATATACTAAATAACCCTATTGGCTATGAATCAATGTACATGGATTCAATGATGTTGGCTGCACACTTGCTGGTTGCAAATGCAAACAATGCAAGCTCCTGCTGGAGAGCCCAGCATCCCCCAAAGGGGGAACAATAGAAGAGCTGCAACATCTAATATTGGGAAGGACAAAAAGTCCGCCCGGCAGTTGCTCCTCATTGGCTTAAGGCACCTCAGACAAAATGTGGAGACTACAAGAGCACACAACCTACTTTCTAAACTCTGACTGCGAGTCTCGAGTGTGAATGTAGAGAGCAACAAGAAGCTGCTGGGTATGTTGGGCCACACCCTCCTCCAGGCTGTCAAGAAGCAGCTGCCACAGGAAGTCAATGCCTGGAGGCACACAAGCCAGCCAGAAGATTCTCAGTGTCTGGATATAACTCCATCCCAGCACAAACCGCAGACGCACAGACACAAACAGAAAGAGAGAATTCAATGCCGAGAGGCACCATCACGGACTTCAAAATAATCAGCATCCAGCTCCGCACCAAAGCCATACAATTGCTTTCTTGGAGCAAAGGGACAGCAGCTTCCAATTTTAAAAAATGCATTCATTACAGAATTTGAGAGCAACACACACATAAACAGGCAGCAAAAAGGAGTGAGATGGTGGCTGCTCACCGATACAGCTGTTTCCAGATAATGCCGAAGTGCCCTGTCGGCTGCCATAGCCAATTGAGTCATTGGACGCTACCACGCCGTTCACCTGCAGCGAGCAATTCGGTTCATAGCCACTCATTCAGGATTGCCAACAAGAGGACTGTTTCCTGCAAATTAGGGAAGCACAGCTCTTTTCAGAACAGTAGACCTTTTCACAGGTCTATCAGCGCAACAAGCACCACAAGTGGAGAAGTATAACCCTGGGATGTGCAGGCAAGCACAATGCTGCGAGCATTGACAAAGCTACAGGGTAGCCTTAAAGGAAGAGCACAAACACAAGGCAACAAGGCAAGGTGGGTAGAGGTGTGAATTCCCACCCTGCAGAAATAAGCTTTGAAGCATTCAAAGCCACTGCTGTCGAGAGTGGGTGTGTACAGACTGCAGAGGTGCTGGTCCAGAAGGGAGCCCGCAGCCGCATCAGTGATGGCATTCGCCTCCAGTAGCATGCTCAGCCACCTCAGGGCCTCCTCCCTGTCCCAGCTCCCGTAGTACGGATGCTCCACCATGCATGACCACACAGTGTCAAAGTGCCGCGCATCGAAGGTGCACTGGCCGCGTGTCAGCTGCATCACCAGGCTCAGGATCTCGCGCACGATGTGGATGTGCCGCTCGGGGGGCTGTCCTTGCGTGTTATGCTGCTGGCTGCTCTCCAGTTGCTCACGGTACCGCTGCAGTGCGCCAATTAGGAGCACGACGCACTCGAAGGCATTTTCCTGTGGAAGCACCCAAAAACTGCTGTCTTAAAGGGCAGAACATGAAGGCACATAAATGATCTATTCAAGATAACTGCAACCTGAAATGCCCGTGGAATGGTCAATCAGCAAAGAGCCCACCCACCCAAAAAAAACCCAGAAAAGAAGAAAAAGAAAAATGGCAACCAAGACACAAATGTGCAGATAAAAAAGGCAAGCAAAATCATTATCCTGGGACACTGACCAAGAATGGCTGGGTGTCTATGCACCCACATGTATCTGCTGCAAGATGCAAGGGCTTGAGAAGTGCAATCCATGGGATTGTGAAATAGAGAAGGCCTCACAACTTGTGGACAAGACTTTCTAAGACTGTTTTCCAAGAAAGAGATATGCTGTGCAGGTTTCAAAGGGTGCAGGAAGAGCATGCATGTACAAGGGGACAGCCAACCAAGACAAAGCACAGGAGACTGGGCAAGTTATCCAGGGAGAGATACGACATCAATTCAAGGTGTGCACAAAGCTCAAGCCACAATAAAGGCTTGGAATTCACACAAAAAAGCTGCCCTGCAGTCTACCAATTCATTCCAGGACAAGGGGCCAAGGGGGGGGGGGGAGGGCTCCGATGAAATACAGGTTGGGGATGTACCTCATCTGCACCATAGTCGATGGATGCTTGGCACAGGAACCTGAAGAGGTGAAGGAGTGTCAGCTTCACTTGCCCCTCCCTTAGCTCCCTGACAGCTTCTGAGAGGTACTTCTGCAGCAGCTCCCGTCGACCAAAGTGCAGATAGGCGTCCATTGAGTTCTTGAACACATCCCAATGCACATGGGATGTGTGTCTGTCATCCTCCAGCAGGACATCCCACAGAGACTGGAGCACCAGAGGTGCAAAGTTGCCCTGTGGTCAACAGCAAAATCGTCAAAGAGAAATTACGGGACAGACTCGACATTGCATCAACGTGGCAGCAACAAATACATTGCTCTGTTTTAAAAAGAATGGCAGCTTTGAATTTGTCTCTCGTGCTTTTCCAGCAGTAACATATGTATTTCAAATCTTCAATGCACACAGCTATTGTGTGTCTAGCCTCAGGACAAACATACAGCTTGTTGGAATGGCTGGATCAAAGACATACTTGCACTACATTGCACAGGCTGCCACAAACTACTAGAAGCTGACGATGGCAAGAAACTGACTCAGGCTTCTGTCTCTTCAGATTCTATCTATTCAATTCTGTCGGCATCCCATCAGACTAGATGTTGGGTGTTGGCCTAGGGTCTCACTGTGCACCCACAACCAGTGGTTTGTCCGCTTGTGGAAGGGCCACAACCCGGTGGTGGCCCTGCCTCAGGGTGCAAAAGTCCTGACGGCTGGGCCGCCTGGGGCCATTGACATAATAGGGGTGGAATTTCGTCACACTGGGGGCCTTCAATGTGGGGCAAGGCCCACAATTTTTCAAAACAAAACCCATCTAGGGTTGTTCGGGGTTCCAGTAGCTTGGGCTTCTGAGCACCTGTTGAGTGTCCATTCGCATGTTCTTCACAGCTGCATTTCCTTTTGAAACAGGGCAAAAGTATTGAAATAACAATAATCAGTAGCAGGAGCAACGCATCCAAGAAGACTGGGCAGAGGTGACACAAGGAGCATGGCCAACCTGTGAATCTTCATTGACGATCCTCCCAAGGAAACCAACCATGCGCTGTGTGTCAGCCGCCTCCCTGCGAGCAACCTTGCGGCTCCTCTCCAACAGGAACTGCACTTGTGTGTGGGACAGGCAGGATGCGAGCTCACCCAGGAGCTCCACGACATGCTCCTTCAGCACGTCAAATGTGCCTTCCTGCGCAGCAGCAAGGGACACAGACACGTGGGTGGGAGATGGAAACCAAATCTTCACAATGGAGTTGGCGGAAAATCAACGTGGATATATGGCAGATACCAATCAAGAAGCTCTGTGGATGGCCTTGTGCCTGTCATCGCATTGCAGCTTCAAAGGCAACACTTTGTTGCTCTTCACCCACCATTTGACCAATGTTATCAGATGATCAACACACAGAGAGATGCAGACAGCTGACTCATACCAACAACAATGCTCTCTGTGACAGTAGACACTATTGCACAAGATTCAGTCGCATATATGGCTATCCCGCAACTGTTGTGTCACGGCTGCCTGCTCTGTAGGATCAGCTGAAGAACTCAAACCACCAAGCCCCACACCAATCCACCCACCGGTTCGATGATGCTCCACAGCTTGTCTATGTGCTGCTCCTTCAAAATGTGGGATAGCGCCATCGATCGCAGCACTCTCAACACCTGAGTGCATCACCATCAGGCCCAAGAGGGAGTTAGACAGGAAACAGCTTGACAAATGTTGCAGTTTAGCACAAGTGTATCAACAACTGAATGCCTCGTCGTTGGCGAAGATTCGTTGCAACAAAAAGTGAAACATGCTGTGCAACGGGCCCTTTTCCTTCCCCCCCAAGCAAACACTGTGAGCCTGGTTGTGTCACTGCCCCAATGCAAAGAAAGCTGTGTCAATGTCCACATATCAATGCCCACGAGGGGGCCAACACCTTGCTCAAGACAAAGGGTAAGAACAAAGAGACAAAAAGAAAGAAAAGATTCCTGTCTGTGGCAACAGGGTACAGCGGTCAACAGAGAGATTGGCGCACAAGTTGCTTTTTGTCCTGCAGATGGACAGCAATTGCGCCACATTTTCTTCAATGCTTATTTCCTTCAATTCTCAATATCTATTTCAACCAAAGGAAAATGTTCTTACTTCCAGACAATGCCTGACATGGTGTTCGACCATTAGTGAGCAAACAAAACAGACAGCAAGGCAAGGATGAGCAGCCATCTCGCACACAAGATAATGAGTGCTGTGAGTACTTGTACATGTTGCAGGAGTGTATTCATTGCAGCACATGCATGTCATGCTTTTCTTGCTCTGCAACATCCAAGCTGGGAGTATCCTGAACTAAGCACTGCCCTGCAGCACTACCAAAGCGACATAACAAAAGTATAAAGGGAAAACTTCAGGCTGGTCCATTCATTTGAAGCTGAGCTCAGATGGAACCCTATTTACATGGTCCTCAACGTAGGGTGCACTGGGTGCATGGTGTTTCAGGACCGTGAGGGGCACTCCTTGCAAATGCTGGCCAACCCAAACTGCAGCTGCCACAAGCACTAATTCCTGTCAAATTGACAGCCCAGATATACAGAATGACTGTTCTGATGCCCATGCAACTTGCAGCCTTTTAGTTGCTTAAATGTGCCCACACCTGTTGCATATAATGTTGCTTGTCCAGCTGCGATGAGACCATCCAGTCCACAACACCCTTTTTAGTGAGCCAGTCATCCAGGGCCTGCAGTCCGAATGCACATCAAACATTTGCAGCGACCCAAAACAACGAGGTGATGATTCCTGGAGCAATGCATGTGGCCTGCCAGCTGCTTAGCAAGGTTGTCAGCAACTGAACTGAGTTAGCACATTGCTATTGAAGCAACAAAAGAATCGAGCCAAAAGCTGCGTTTTCACATAAAGCAAAAAACATATCAACACAAGTCATCGGCTCAACCAGGCCCCCAATACTACTATCAGCTTAAGCCCAACTCGAACCTAGGAAATAGCAGCAACCACAACACAAATGTCTTCAAAGATGCTGATATATGGGAGTGCATCTGTTGCAAAATTGCAACTCTCTATCTTCAAGGCCATTGCCGACCTTTTGAACACATTTTCTTCCAACATTTCCTCCTGTATTGCTTGTTGCTCCTTATTCATTCAGATATTGTCCACATTATCTTTCACAGCATGGACAAACAGCATCACAGAGTCTGGATCGTGCAGGATGTGCACAAGGACGAGTTAGAATGGCCAATCGGTCCACTCATTTGCTCATGGTGCGAAGCCAAGAGAAGCATTCCCCACCAAGAATGGAAAGTTATGTTGCTGCTGCTTGGATAGATTGTTGACTGGTGAGCAAGCCGCTGCATTCAGATTGTGTGTGTGTGTGTGTGCGTGTGTGTGTGTGTGTGTTGTGGGTGGTGTTGATCAAATTCCAGGGTGTATTAATACTGGAAATGCTGTGTTATCGTCCCATGCTGGTTAATCCATAACAGGTCCAACTTCGATTCTTATCCCCTGAGTGGACACCATCCCTTTGCCAGCATTTCTCCAAGCTTTATCTGCAGGAGCGATTCAAGCACTGCACCCACGTAAATTGCTGCCATGCACCATCAGCAATATGATGATATCAACACTATGCGTGTGGTATTGTTCAGACACTGTCGTTATGGCAGTAATGGAAAACAGTAGCCTGCAGTACTCATGCGATGTTGTTGGTACGCATGCGACCATTTCTGGCCTGAACACCAACTCCTTGTAACCCCCTGCTTTTGCTGGCCAACAGCAGCAGACACATGCCAACCATGATAGCCAAATAACCTTGTTGCTGATTTCAACTGAATGCATGGCTTGCATCAGTTCAACTTGAGACATGTGACAAGAGCAGCAGTGCTCACCTGGAGGGCTGTGCCATTCTCTGCAACTTGGACTCGTTGTGCCCGGAATAGTAGCTGGTAGATGGCTTCCACAGCCTGAATGCGGCCTGCAAAACTGGCATCCTCCAGGAAGGTCTCGACCATGCGACACTGCACCCCTGCAACCTGGCACCAAGTATACAAACATGTCATCAACCAAGTGTATAGGACATGCCTTCAATCGTACACTTGATCCTTTCTGGAGTGTTGCGTAGCTTTGCCCCTTCATGACAACTGGCAAAACAACCAAATCTTTTTTAATTCGACAGGGTTGACACCATACATATGCTGTGCACTATGTGATGCCATGAAAAGGAAAGAACAACAAAAGTATAGCTTATGTGGGTGTTGCTGCTGTAAGGAAAAAGCACACAAGCAGCAGAAGGTGAAGGCCCAGGACAGAGCAGCAAAAAAAACATAACATCAGCAGTCGCCAACCAGCTGGCACATGAATTTGCTTGTTACTGTCTCATTAAACTAAACTAATGTTGTCACTGCACTTTGCCTCACTGATGCTCTGTATTGGTGTTGTAGTCTTCTATGCTGAAACTGTTCTGTCTGAAGCAGTGTGGATTGGGTGCAATGGGCACCAGCAATTAAAGAGACTATGATTTTGGGATAAAGACCACACAACATCAATGCCATTTGGATGCCAGTCATTGCATGGTTTGCGTGTACCTATTCCCTTTCCAGGTTGTTGCTTGCTTCCCAAACATTGCATCTCTTTCAAAGCCTAGCTTTGTGCCCTGTACTAGCAGAAGAGTGTGAACATTGTGCCAATAAACAACAATGTGCAAGAAGATGTAGGTGCCAAAGCTGGCTTGCCTCTGAATGAATGTTGAGTCTCAAAAAGAGAAGTCTGGCATTCCAGGGGAGCCCTGTCTGCTGTTGTCCAGATGAATGCACCCATTCGGGTTCCAAAAGCAAGTCCTTGGCTTAGGGTGTGAAGCATTGAAACTATTAGGCTCATGAACATGGGCAGTCTCCCATAGCTTACGATTTCCTCTGCTTCTTGGGGTCCCTCTGCAGCTTCCAAGACTACTCGAGCTGAATCAAACACAGAGGAGCAGACGGGTGGTCCATTGTCTTTTCCTGACCTCCACGGCTGGGGAGGATCAGTAAGCAACTGCCCGATGAAATTCTTGTACACCTGTCGACACATGTTCTGGGAGTTTTATCTGAATTTCTGAAACATGATGCAAAGCTTGGCAGAGTATGCAGGTGTGTCCTGTCAGCGCCAAATGGCCAAGGAAGAACTGCAAAGAGAGTGATTGACTGCATTTCCATTTGATTTCAAGTTCGCCCAATGCAAATTTCTAGAAATTTACGCAACCAAATATGAGGCAAGGCCACCTCAACCAGGTCATTGTATTGTTCAACAGCCACTGATCATTCAGTCGCCTAGAATGAAGTTGAGCTGGTGGACAACATTCCATTACCTCGCCCAGTTCCTTTGCATCCTCCTCTCCAAGCCAGGGCGCAATCTGCAGTGGTGAGCACATTCACATCAGTACATGAGAGGGGATTCTCAGCTGCCACAGAGAAATCACAGCATATGGCAGCATAAGGGGTAATCATTTGAATGCATGCGACAAAATGTGGTTGTGCATTGCTCTTGCACACTCCAGGCTATGCCAGGAACAAGCTCACACACAGAATGTCCCATATGTGACGACCACAAGTCGGCAAGCAACCACTTTGTCCTTGGCTGGGCAGGAGTGGAATCTGTGTGCCGTCTTGAACATAATGTAATGTTTGGAATACACATAATACAAAATCGTGACATTTCTGGGAAGAATCGGTACGCTCTTGTTGCACAGCAGGTGATGGACAATCGGTGGCATCCCAGTTGCAAGAGCACACAGCATTTGGGACATCCACACGAGTTGGGACTATTGACAAGTGGCAACTGACTGCGCACCCTGGCTCCCAGGTGGAACAACCTCTCTGTCATCATTCTTGTTAGGCAGGGCACTTTGGCCATAGCCTGAAATGCACACACAACAAGGTTGGCAACCAATCTGTTGGCTGTAAAACCCAGATGCCCGACACAGCACAAGGCCAGCAAGAGACAGCCCCCTTTGACGCTGGATGCATCATCCCACAAAACCATCCACAGCTGCCATCGTGCCACCCTCCCTCAAACCCCACGAGGAGACGAGCGAGCCAATAGAAGAAAGCAGATCGCCGAGGGCAAAGCCTGGGGGAGGGGCGCACCGCGATCAGTGTCCGCAGCCCGCGGGCCTCAAGGAACTGGTCCACCAAGTACTGCAGCCAGCACGTGCGCCTGGCTGGCGCGGCGCCCTCGCCCTCGGGCCCGCCCTCCCTGAACTCCTTGGGCAGCGGCCAGCCCTTGGTCTTCTGGTGGAAGGGGCTGTCGGGGTCCAGAGCGGCAGTGGATCCGTAGACAAACGATATGAGCGCGTCCACGTGCTCGGGGGTGAGCGCGTCGCGCAGCAGGTGCGCGGTGACGCGCAGCAGGGTGGCCGTCACGGACAGCAGACCTGCCAGGTCGCCGTGCGGCCAGTCGCACACGCAGTCCTCCATGTACAGGCGGCGGAAGAGGTCGGTGGCGGTGTCGCGCAGGAAGAGCATGTAGCGCAGGTGGTCGTCGGCGGAGGCCCTGAGCGGGCGGCGAGCCGTGGGTCAGGGGACGTCGAGGTGGTGAGGGGGGGCGGGGCGAAAAATTTCCGGCGCTGCGGCCAGATGAGAGCGCGTATGTTGTTGGGAAGCGGGATGCCGGGCGTGTGGGCCATTGAGAGCGTTTGGCCGCGCGCCGCGCTGGCAGAGCGCCCCGGGCGTCCATGACAAGTGGCTGATCCCGCGAGCGGGGGGCAGTCTTGCGGGCCCGGGCCGTGGGAAGCGCGTGAGAGGGTGCCGGGCCGTGTTGGAGAAGATCCGGAGGCCGCGAGGGCGGAAGGGCGGTGCGCGGAGGGGGGCCGGGGTAGGGATGCGGCGAAATTTCGACAGGGGTGCGGGCGACGCAAGGGCCACGCCATCACCTTCGCATGCAGGGGCGCGCACTGGCGAGGGCGCGGATCAATCAATCCCCGCACGCCGACTTTGGAAAGTCCGCGGAGCGAGCTTGGCGGCGCCGACCCGGTCGATGTCCCGAAGGTGCGCGAGAAGAGGAGGGGTACCGTGGCCGGGGCCGGGGGATAAGAAGGAAGGGGGGGGAGGGGGCTGCCGCTTCCCACCCGGTGCGCCGGCCTCCCGATCGCGCCCGCTCCGCCACATTCCCCGCGTCACCTGTCGTCCAGGCGCACCACGGCGTGCACGCCGTTCAGCACCGCCTCCGTCTCCCGCCTGCTGAAGAACCAGTCCCGCGCCATCGGGTTCTGCACCAGCGCCACCGCCTCCTCTGGCAGCATCCCCCCTCCGCGCTCGCCCCCCTCGCCCTCATCCAGCCGTCCGAACACGTCGGCCTCCTCGGCCAGGCTCTCGCTCCCCCCCGAGGAGCCGCTGGCCGCCGGCGACTGGTCGCTCATGCCCACGGGCCAACGCCGGCCCGACGGCGCCGGCCGCACGCACTGCCAGGATCCCGCCCCGGGGCTACGCGGCACGGCGCGGGGCCGATCGCCGCCTCCGAAGGGGTTCGAAATCGGCGGGGTGGCGGTCCGCCGCCTGGGGCCGTCCCAAACGCCCGGGGGGAAGAGCGTGGGCTGGCGTGGGGGTGCCCTCACTCACACCCTGCCAGAATCTGCATGGTACAACGGAAGGGGGAGGGGGTGGTGGGGTGGGGGCGCGGGGGCGAAGAGGGCGTGACGGCCAAAAAGTGCGCGATGCGGGCGAACGGCAGATGCGAAAATTCGCGGAGGGGGGCCAGCCGAGGATTTTGGCAGAGTACTTTGGGGCCCCCCACGCGGGTGGCGTCGCGGGGGCTTTGGCTGCGGTCGGATTTGGGGCGTTCTGAGGCCCGGCGGTGGACCCTGAGGCCGTCGGCCAGCGTGTTGACGCGGCGCAAACGGGTGCTGACGAAATCCTGCTGGCCCTGGCTTGCTGTTGCGTTTAAAGCGCTCTGTCCTGGAGGGGCGCAGTGTTGGCCGGGCGTGCGCCGCAGATAATGCAACCAGCTTCTGCTGGCTGGACACACGTCCCTGCACTGATGTGGCCAGCAGCTCGGATGGTCAACACCACCGTCCTATGAGACTGTGGCTGCACATTGCAAAAGAAGGTCACCTTTGGAAATGTAGCACTATGTTGAAACCGAAATCCAGGACAATCTGGCACACGGTAATTTTAGTGCCAGTACTTCCCAAAATGGCTTTTGATGTTTTCAAGCACTGTTGCGCCCGTCTTCGTGAGAGCATTACACAAGCAAGTAACGAACACTGCCCACAGAATGGCCATTTCATGTGATGGACGAATCGTTGACAAGGATGTGTCATTGAGTTTGTTGTTAGAGAGCCGTGGGTAACCACTTTGAATGCACCAGGTGCTCTAGACAGTATTGACAGCTGAGCACGTTCATGGCTGCCCCGCTCCTTGGCAGACTGGACCCAACGGCTACGTTTGAACCCTGGCCAAGGGATCCGTGGACTCTTGGCCCTGGTTTCATCGAGAGTCAGGGCTTTGGCTCTCAAAAGGAGTGCCTTGTCAGACTTTTCATCTGGTAGCGCTCATCCTGTAATCCTGGACCAGCGATTCGTGGTGATGCTGTGATGACAGAATGGCGGATCGGCGCATTTGTGTATCCGACTGCATACTCAGCGTTCTCACAAGAAACTGTCTCTCAATTGGTTTGTTCTTCAGCTGTTTGGACAATTGGAATCGTGGTCGAACCGGTTGGTGGTTTTGTATTGAACTTGGTACAAAGATTTGAATTATAGCGGACATGTTAGGCATCTACATATTCAACAGCCTGGCTATGGAATTTGTGCTGAAGAAAGAAGCGATGAGCGTAACATTTCATGTTGAGGTGGCTGATACCTGACGACATGAAAAGGTGCGCATGGACGTGTTTTGAGATTGGGAATTGTTTGTACATTGGCTGCCTGTACATCGGGCAATCTGTCAGGTGAGGGCGGCAGGTGCCATTATCTGCATTCTTGTTGTGATGGCCCCATGAAAGTGTCAAATTGCTAGCAGGAGCCTGCCTGGCAGGAATCCTGCCATCGGTGGGCTGGCACGCTGTACAATTGTCGTGCCCTGCCTTACACAAGATCAGGTTGCACATCAGCAGCGAGGATGAATGGATATAACATAATTACGAATTATTTACAAGGAGTCTCTGACAAGAAAGTGCGGGCTAGAATTAACAGAATGACAGGGGGAGATGTTGTAGTAAGTCGACTGGGGAGGGTGAGATGTGGGAACAAGCAATGCCGGCACTCGATAGGACTGAACAAGCAACCATGTTTATTCGATGCACAATAGATGGGATGATTTGATGAACTGATAAACATGCAGGTAGATGCAGTACAATAGTGTCCAGTGGGATCAGACGGGCGGCTAAACATTCTGAGTGAGTCACAATAGGATCAGATTGGGGTGGATTATGGGAGCCCGTTGGGAGTTTCATTGCTTGTTGAAAGAGTGATGACAGTAAATGGGATACAAGTGGGACAGAAAATGGGATAAAGGCGGGAAAGAGTACACAACGAACTTGGACATCGAAAACGCTGCTACCTTGAGGATGTTCAGGCAACAAAACATCCGCAACTGTTGGATCTATGGCAAGGGATGCACATTACATACTTATGAATTGGTGCGTTACATTGTAAGCAGTCGCCCCCTTGGCTCCAAACAGTGCCCATTCGCGCAAGCAATCACAAGCCTGGGCACGGCCTCATGGAAAGCGGCATCGACAGTGAGGCGGCCCTTCACACTGGTGATTTCGCTGTTTCGTAGGCGGACTTGCTCTGTGCTAATGAGCTTGTTTCTTTTCTGTCCTTTCTTCCTTTCTTGCCATGGATGCAGCCTGTTCTACGGCACCTCAAAAATTTTTGCAACTCGCGTGTCTCCACATGCGGGAGTGTTTGAACTCCCAGAATGCAATGAAATCCCTATTAAATGTTTCGTGTCACTACTCTGGTGGCATACTACGTCCATCCCAGCAGTGAGATCTGACAATGAGCTGTGCGGGTTTCCTGAGACCGTATGTGGACTGCACATACGCAGGCCATTATGCGGCAGATCGAGCGAGCAGGCTCCGACACCGTGGACGAATTTGACCCCTCCGCCCTCCGAAACCACAGCCTCTTGCGCCACCTGTCCGCGCTTTTGCCGCGCCCCATCGACAAATCCACCGCCTCCGCCATGTACTGGCCGCCTGCAGGCCACACGGGGGACCGAGAGCGAGCCTCCCCAGCATTTAATTGCCACCCCCTGCACAGCCCGCGACAGGATCCCTCTCAAAAAAGACGTGCCAAGACAGGCTGCCTGCCAAACCGGCCCCACGCCCGCCCGCCCGCCCGCCCGCCCGCCCTCCCTCCCCTCGCCCCCCCTCGCCGGCGGGTACCGCCAGGAGTCCAGCCACCCCGCAACGCCAACCGCCATGCGGTGGCTGCTGTCGGACGATGTCCTCCCTGATTGGTGCGCCCCTCCCCCCATCCCTGCACCGCTCACTGCCTCGCTCGCGCCTGGCCCCGAGGGGGGCTGGGACCAATCTTCGCACCCCACGGCGCTCTCCGCATTGCATTCCCACCCGCGCTGACTCTCCCCTTCCTCCCGCCTCTCAAGGTGGACCAGCCTGGACACCTCCCTGGACGAGGAGTGCACGGAGGGCCGTTTCTACGCGTGCTACTGGTACTACCTGGCACTGGCGTACGGGGTCATAGCCCTCGTGGCCGCGGTGAGTGTTTCGGTGTCCAGGCGGGGACAGCCAGCCACCTCGCTGGCGCTGTCGCCCATTGAGCGGTCAGCCGGTGCTGCCACCGCCCTGCGGGGTGCCACCTGGGACCCAACCCCATGGCCTTGGCCTGCAAACCCCGGGAGCCAGTCGATGGCCGCAATCCGTTGCTACCGCCCTTTGCTCCGCGTCCAGCCCGGTCGAACGATTTTCTGCTCGCCATCTGCTGGGATTGGAATGGCGCAGCTGGCTGGATGGCCGCGCCCCTGGGTGCCTGGGCTAGCGATCGGGCCGCCAGGAAGGGGAGCCGGGGCGGCGCCGAGCGGCGCCCACAGCCGCGGCGGAATGGCTTCGGCGGCGGACGCTGGATGCCGATGCCAGCCGCGGCTCGCGGGCGCAGCGTCGCTGCCCGTACCTAGCGCAGGGTTCTTCTAGACTGCGGGATTGTCTCAGGTTTTTGTTTTCGAGGAGACTGCGGGAATGTCTTATGCATTGACTGGCAAGCGCCAGGGTACGCCTCGTTGTGGCGATTCCCCGAGGCGCGGGCGCTCAGACTTTAAACTGTGGCGCTTATGGGGATCGCGTATCGGACGATCTTCCGGACACCGCCTTGCAGCGCAAGGCCTTTGTAGCGGTCCGACGAACGCAGCCGAGGGAATCATGCGCAGGCGCTTGCCGTCCTGCCAGTGGCACCGAGGCAAGACGCCTCAGGCGTATCCCTCCATCCTTGCCGACCCGTAGCTGCCTGGCCTGTGGCGCAGACCCAGCTGATCCGGATCCAGCAGCGCGTGCCGGACTACGGTTGGACTACACAGAAGGTGTTCCACTTGCTCAATTTCCTGTTCTGCGTGCTACGCTGCGTTTCATTCGCCCTGTACACCCTCCTGGAGAAGCTGAATGAGAAGAACGTGCACCAAGCCGTTGCCAAGCTCATAGTCTTTGACCTGCCAGGTGAGAGCCCTGTCTGTGGACACATGCACGTCGCGGTGCAGGCGGGTTAAATCTGTCTTACAGCTCCCACCTCCCATCTGTCCAGCATGTTGGCGCAAGATGGGTTTGTGCTTCTCATCTCCCAGCCAAATTCCTTCACTTAGCTTTGCATTTGCAAGAAAAAGCAAGATCCTTGCGCCTTGCAGGCGAAGTCAGGCATGCATATAACCAAAGCTTTGTAGCTTGTGTCCTGAAAAGTGCATGGGCAGATGTAGAATGCCCCTAGTTTTCAGTTTCCTTGATTGACCAGGGATATCAGCACAGCAAACCATTGTCTCAACCCAACAGTTTATGACCTTTCATCAAGGGATGCAAGCCTCATCATGCTCACCTGGCACGTTCCCAGGCTTGTTGTTTGATCTGATGACAAATCGTTGCAGAAGATGCATACACAACACCATCATATACTGCTCTTGGCTGCTTTTGGCCCAGACCTATCGCTGTACCTTACACTCTGTGGATGCTTGCAGGCCTCCTATTCTTCACGACCTTCACATTGCTGGTCCTGTTCTGGGCTGAAATTTACCACCAGGCCAGCAATGTCGACACAAGGTTCCTGCGGCCGTACTTCATTAAAGTGAATGTCCTTGTGTATGTCATCGAGGTAAGCTTTCTGTGGAATCTCTGGGCAATTCATCCAATGCTTGCACATCTCAACCACAGCAGTTTTTGAGGGACTTGTTCCTTTCCCTTTGTGTTGCTATGCACCGTAGTTCACAGAGGATGCCCCCCTCCCCTGCCCCCATGTTGAGCAACAGTGCTGGCATCAAGAATGCGGGGGCCACCACCTTATGTGCCACCACACTATAATATGAGCCTCCCACACTCTGCATCAAGGCGATGACCTGGTAACACAGGGAAAGTGTACTGCCGTTCGATCAACGTGACACATAGCATGCCAATCTAAAGTGAGACACCCTACAATACCCCTACAATGTTAGTAATGCTGGGTTGCTATTTTAGCGTACCTGCACGATTCAACGCTCCCTGCGCTATCCACTGTGAACTACGGTTGGCGGCTGCAAGACGCCCATCATGTGCAGTTGTATTTTGGGCGTCTTTGGTAACTGGGGAAGAAGTGTTGGATGCTGACCTCATGTTCTTTGATTTTAAACCTCAGAAATTTAAACAGAAGGCAAACAGCAGATGGTCATGGTCATGACACTTCCTTGCTCGGGAACTGTTGTTACTTCAGCTGTCATGAAAACCCTGAGGTGACAATTAGAAATCGTTCCATTAATGTTGTTCTGATGCCCCTGGCTGCTGTGCGTTTGTGCAGATCATCCTGTGGGGTCTGTCGGCAGTCAGTCTGTCTCATGACTGGGCACGCTACGGCTCGGCAGGTTTCCTGACTGCTGTGTCACTGGGCGCTGTGGTGGGTTTCCTTGTCTACGGCTGCCGGCTGTTCTCCATGTTGCGGCAGTTCCCCATCGAGTCTCGAGGCAGGCATAAGAAACTGCAGGAAGTCGGCCTCATCACAGTGATATGCTCGGCCTGCTTTGCTGCCAGGTATGTCGATCCGCCCTACTTCAGCTCAGGCCTCTTTCTATCCATGTGTTGGAATGGCAGGGGCGATTTTGACTGTGCTTGCAATCTCCCTGCCAGTTTCAGCAGGGACTGACAGTCAGTCTTGCAAGAAAACGGTCTGTCAATCAAAGGGGTGGCGAATCACAGAAATAAGTGATAAACTCGTGCACGTTGAAGTTGTGTACATTGTAGTTGTGCAATGCCTTCAGTCACTCCTGAGGAAGAACAGCACAGCGACAGTTTCGTCATGTAGTTCCAATTTCTGAAGCCATGTATCACATTAAAGAGTTCAGGTGTGCTATTCATGTGGGCGTTGTACTGCCTCATAAAAAGTGCATGGTGATGTAAATCCAGGAGATTGATCCTATGATATTTAATCCACATTCTGACAGAAGCTTGGCACATTGTGGTGTGAATTAGTAGTTCAGAAATCGTTACAAAGCATATTGTACTTATTAATGGCAACAGACACATCAACATCAAGAAATCTCACATCGACCTGACAAATTGATCCCAGATATCCCGTGCTCACAATAATTGAAGCAACAAATTGCTTCTGATGAAATGCAAGGTCTTTGATAAAGAATGTCGTTGCCCTTGGCTTGCCCTTTGACATTCTGTTTGTGGGCTAGCATGCCTGTCACGTTGGCTGTCGGTTGGATGTTCTGTCCCCCCCGTTCTTGCCCTGTGCTACAGTGGTTCCAGCACCACCGAGAAGCCACTAGATTTCTGTGCAATCGCATTGCTGCCATATGTGATGCACGCCCAGCATCGCCCGCAAGGTCCATATATACATTGTCTTTCAAACGCAAATTTATACAGAAAAACGTAGCTACTACTTCCTCCATCCCATACTAACTGTCCTCCATTTGAAAGACAAAATTCATTACAAGAAAAGCCTCAAAAGTACAAAACAATGTCAGAATCAGAAAGATTGGGTCCCAAAACCCCTAACTATCGATTTTCGCCAGAACGAGTCAGTCCCACCCCCCTAAAGAGCACCTACGAGATCGCCATTGGCTTTTAGAAAATGTGCCCACCGATTCCGAGTCCGCTGGAGATCTGCATGGTTTTGGCTTGCTCCCGTCCCGGGCAGCCAAGGGAATGGCTTTGCCATTGTCACAGCCAAGGGCAACGTCCCTCGTGTGGAATGGCACTGGTCAAACACGCTCGACGGTGATTGGATCGTTGTGGCAAAAGACCATCGTCGCAATGTTGACGATGCCGAAAATCGCAGCGACCCTAGATCCAAGAGGCAATGACGTGCCACAAGCAGAGTAGGCCAAGATCCAGAACGTTCAAACCCAGGCTCTGTGCGCTCTACCACTCCAAGGTATTTGGGTGGCTTTGCATGGACAGCATGCCTCGATTTATCTTTGAATCGAGACCTCTACATGCAGCCTGGCCCACGATCCATGAATTGCCACTGGCAACCACCTCTTTTGTGCGGTCCACAATCAATCACCACCTGTCTAGTCTACGCTCATGAAAGAGACATGGCATTAGCCACTAACCCTTCTCTTTGTGTCTAGCCGTTTGAAAATCCACAGCAAAGCCAATGTCGCCAATCTCGTGTTGACAACAAATCCCACAATCGGCTGCCGCTGAATGCGGCCCTGGGCTTCACCTCCTCTGTTACCTTGTCAAGGGGATTTGGAGTCACGCTCTGTTGTCTTGACGGCACCAACAAAGGACGAAAAATCTTGGCCCTGAAAATTCGGGGCTCGCTGGCAGCTCCGGTCTACCAGGCCGGCACTGAATTTCAGCCGTAAGTTGTGGCGAATTGCACAATCAGGGCCTTCGGAACATGTTTCCTAACGCCCCTCACAAGCACCACTCCGATCTTATATCCGAACTGTGTGGATAGCTTTGCATGGGCGGGTTTGTTTCGTTGCCACGAAAGCGTGCTCTTCAAAACAGCGAAAAAAGTCGTTTTCGTGAAATCGTTGAAAAACGGGTTGGTTTCTGGCTAGACGACCCTTACTACAAAGTACTGGCAAATCCTCCATACCTAGCAGATTGACCTGAAATTTTGATTGTATACTCCAAAAATTTAGGCACAACTTTGGACCAAATTTCATTAAAAGGGAAGATTGTATGATGGAGAAGGGATGTGTGAAAGTCATAGAGGACATTGAATGTGGGACAGAGGAAGTACATGTCACCTTTACAACAATTATGGCAGCGTGCACAATTTGCACCCATCTAAACCTAGTTTACACCGCTTAATTCCATTGTTCTAAGAAATCATGCAACAATATCTGAATACAACTGGACCAGCCTGCAACAGAGCACCACAGCCACACGGATTCCCAGTTGTGTCAGACCTGCAACTTGTGTTGTAGTATTCTCGCTGAGATAGCAGTCATTTCAGTATGTGGTGTACACTACTTCCTCGGAAAATGTACTACTGACGTTTGGTGCAGGCTCAGAAAAATGAGAGCACAACTGTATTGCAACGACGACAAGTGACATGCACCGCCCACTTCACCTTCTGCGCCCACACGTGTCCACATGGCCAACCTTTTCTGTGTGTATGGTGCAGGGCGCTGCTGTCAGTGTTGTACATCGTGGATGACAGGGACTTCGACGTTGATATGATGGGGAACGCCCTACTCAACATCGTGTTTTATGTGGTGTGCGAGATCCTGGCAGCCGTGTTGGTGCTCAGCATCCTACACCGGCTGCCACCCAAGCACAAAGCCCCCCGGCAAAGGACCACCCAGGGTACCGACTACCAGCCCATTGGAGTATCGGAGGACTAAGCAAATACCCACATAGGGGTGGTGTGGTTGAAACACTGAGGCACTGGCACCTGAGGTGCTGGATGTCTTAGTAGTCCTATCGCCTGACTGTGTCGTTGGTGTGTTGAGTCGTTCGTGGACTTAGTCATCCGATAGCCGATCTGTGCCTGATACTACAAATTGATTGGAACCTGCTTCTGTGGATGCTCCACGTGGAGGGGCGTTGTCGAAAACTCGAAGTAGGTGGTGTGCATGCTTTGTCCTGATTCATAGGCAAAGGCAGGTGGTTGTGTGTGTTCCCAGCCTGCTGGTTCAGACGTGGAGACATCTCCCAAATTGAAGGAGTTATATTGTTTGGGTGGTGGGCGCCCCATCACATTTGCGGTGTTCCAGCCAGTTAGGTAGCTTTTGTGAGCTTGTGTCAAGGCAGTGGGGCGCTGGCAGGAGCGGATGATGTGCACTCTGCGCCGCTTGAGCAGCTGATTAGCCTTGCCACCTGGCAAATGCAAGGGGTGGGCAGTTGGGCCTGGGGCCATGGGCGGGAGGGGGATTTTATCAATGTGATGGGGAAGGTGATGGGCGAGCTGTGGGCTCGTTCTGATGGCGCACTGCACCAGCAGCCAGCTGCGCTTGGAGGTTGTCGATTGTCATTTTCGATTTTGCAATCCTCGGCATGGTTTCGTGCAGTGTGGCCAAGCGCATGCTCCCTTGCCAGCACGATGGATTTCATTTCCGATTGTTTGCAGAAATTCGGGCTGTTGTGTGGGCACTTATGAAAAACACAAGCAAAAAAGATGTGGTGGGCAACATATTGTTTTGACTGATGCTTGGGGGTGCCATTTGAACTCTTGCCCATCCTGTTTACCATTGTAAATGAATGGCGTACATTAATATGGGAAGCGGCGGCGATATGGGGTGCATAGAAGACGGCGGTGAGGCAATAAAGCGTTGTACTCCTAAGCTGAAAGTGCTCTCCCTACAGGACAGCTTGCTTGCATGGCAGGGTGTCATATGGGAGCTTCCGTCTCATTGGTTTTAACCCTGGAAGGGATACGCACTCCAACGTGTCTGTGCTTTACCCTCTGCTCTTTGACATGCATGCACTTGTGAAACCCACAGCTTGAACCGCCATTGGGTGGGACTGCCACAGGTGGAGGGACACCTGATTTCCACCTGACCGGTCTCCTGAACCCTCCCGGTCATGTTTCCTACACGACAAGACATTACAACAAAGGTTTCCATTACCAACAACTCCACATACCCGAGGTCCCCATACTTCACAGTTGCCCATTCACTCTCCATGGGCACGGGATGCACCACCGGGGCAGAAAATGTGCCCAAACTGGGTGTGGAGGTCGCGGATGGTGATAGTCAGTCACCTGAACAAACGAAAGTCCCCCTCAGTGGGTAAACAAAAAATGTCCACATATGACTAGAATCAGACTTCCACCCACCCCAATCCCAAATGCGCCGTTCTGTAACCTCTTGAAAGGAACGCCCCATCACGCGCAGAATGACGGGCGATTCCCCTCCGGAGTCAACCAGAGAAGTGGCGACCGCACATCGCCCCCCTTCGGCCTTCGTTCGCAGCCCGCACTCGCTGCCAGAACCCGCAGTACCTCCGCCTTGCAGCAGTCCCGTCCACGGTTCGCGATTCCTTCGACGCACCACGCAATGCGCCCTCCCTTTTTGCCTCCCGTCGCTCCCCGTCAACCCACGTCGCGCCAACGCCCTCGCCGGCGCACGGGGTCCTCCGCCCGCGATCGCACAACCCTCACGGGGGGTGTCGACCCTTCACCGCGCGCCTTAGTAAGGCGCCGGCGTGTGGAGATGCCCCACGTTCGGGGCCCGCGTCCACACGCTTGCTGGTAGCTATCCCCTGCCGCGCAGCCTCATGGAAGCCACGCCTTGGGCGTCGGGGGCCTGCGATTTGCCAGGCGGTTCGGAACGCGGCCTTGCGGCACCCGGAGCACGGAACCCATCACCGACAAGGATCTGTTACAATTGTTGCCATGTCCAACTTTTGTACACCAAACCACACATCGTACATTCCCATCAATCGTTTCACACATTCCAGCTGTCAGTCCACTCGTGATTCAACCCGACAGCCGCACTTCCATCACATAATCCAACGTGCCTTTCAAGCACAACAGCTATCACTACTCTTGATTCAACCCACAGCTGTGCTTCCGCCAGATCATCCAACGCTGTTGCCAATGACAACTGGCCGACCAGACAATCCTTCAACCATCAAATCAACTCTTGGACGAAGCGCATGTAGCAGAAATGAAGTATGAACAGAGCATAGATGAAATTGACCACGATTCATTATGCTATATTTCAACAAACCTCCAAAGCGAAGCAGCTGGATGCACCCCCGCCGCGCAGGCCGTGGTGCATATAAGGTTCCTGGGCGATGGTCGGGTGGCGGGATAGCAAGGTCGAAAACCAAGTTGCCACCGTCTTGGCGCCGGGGGATGCCTCGCCAAGTAGCTGATAGAAATGGCGGGGCGCTTGGTCCGTCTACGCCCAGGCCCGCTCGCGGTAAGCCGTCCAGCGAAGAATGAGATCGACGACCTCCGGGGCGCCTTGGGATGGCCAGGACCTGAAGCATAATTTGGGGGCTGCATCCTTGTGCAACTTGGACTTGCCTCCTGAAATAAAATGACCCCGTCCTTAACCTGGAGTCCTCTGCCAAAACAAAGTGGCCTGACTGTGCCCGATTGAAGTAGATGTAGTCGATGTACACTGCGCACGCCGCCCGAAGGAGGGCCCTGTCCTCTGTGGTCAAGCCCATATCAAGGATGCGAATCATCACCTCGATTGGCATTGGATTAGTGATGTTGCATTGGGGCCGGCGCGGCGTGTCTCCAGGCACAGGTGAGGACATGGGTAACTGGGTCAAATGCCAAAAAACCAAGGTGCCCAGACATGTGGTGCACCATGGAAATGGCCGCCAAACATTGCGGTAAGGAACGAACGCCCACCTTGCCCTCCTCTCGTAAGAACCAAGTGTAGTGGTAGATGGTGGCGCAGTAGCACCAAG